TTGTACTGAAAACACAAAACGTCATTTTTTACGTTTTGGGTGTTTTCAGTACAAAACACCCAAAATTTGGAAAACACGGGAAACGCTAAAAACCATCTCCTCCTTCTCTCTTCTTCCAATCACATCTCTTCCTTCTCTCTTCTCGACGCCGACGACCCACTCAAACACTGCAACCGGCGATGGAGGAGAGCGCCAATGCTGGCATGGGCGTGGGCGTCGGAAGGCAACACTACTGTCATTGTCGCGACCCATTCGTCGCGATGCTGCTGAGGTTTAGGCTTGTCTCTGCCTTTCTCTGTTCGACTCCGGCGGCCCATTGAAGGGAAGACATTGGCAGTAGCGACTATGGTTTTTTGGTTTTTTTGATTTATCAATTGCTTATAAGAGATGCACAAACAGTGCAAGCAATTTTGCGATGAACGGTGGGATTTCTAGGTAAAGGGTGGGGATGGAATTTTTGTAATCAAATTCTAAGGTCGATAATGGATTGTGGATTATACTAATTGTGGATTGGTACAGATTTGGCATTTCAAGAAGCTCGTTGACACCGGTGGCCGAATTAATCACCGATCCATTAGGGAATGAATGTTGTTTTGCAAAATATAATTGGGGTTCCAGGATTGTGGAAATTAATCACCAAATTAGTTTCGTGTGGTGAAAGAATACAAGTGAAATAAATCCGTCAAGTGGGGGAAAGTTTTGATGTGCCATTGCGGATATGGATAAGGGGATGGCAGGAGCTAGAGGAGGACAATGAGGAGGAAAAACCATAAGCGACAGTGATGTGGGATTCTTACTTGTGGGTTGAGACCAAGTTGCAGCTAGTCGAGCTAGCTGAGGTCTTGAGTGGTGCCATCGTATGTGCCGGCGTGGGTGGTGGTTGTATTGATTTCGGTTGGCAGTCGATTGGTTGTCTTGACTGGTTGTGTTGATTGGCAATGGCATTGGTGGTTGTGTTGGCGGTGGTGACTGGTTGTGTTGATTTTGGTGGTGGCGAGGGCAATGGTGGTTGTGTTAATTTTGGCTGGCAGTGGTGATTCTCGGGGTGGCGGCTTTGTGGTGGTGTTGTGGTGGTTTTTTTTGTAGAAAATATTATAAAAAAATATTCTCAAAATTTTCAAGTAAACGCGTTTTCCATTTTTATGTTTTGATAAACAATTTTTCAAAATGCCAAACAGAAAATATTTTCAATAATCTCTAAATGAACACTCAAAATACAAAACACAAAATGAATTTAAAACTCAAAATTGAAAATTGAAACATGAAGAGAACACCCCCAAGAAATTTGATATACAACAAATTTCATGGAAATTGGAAAAAGTTTTCCATTTTCCAAGAAATGTAGTGTTTGATGGCTTTTATTTTCTTGGGAACTTGGTTTCCATCCAATTGCTCCACGCGCCTCTTTTCTTTAAATTTGTGGAATTGGTGGGAAATCTGATTTCACCTTTTTTT